ATGGTAATGCTTGTAGGGTTTAATTAAGATTCTCATTTAAGATTTAAGATTCTCATTTCATGTAAGGCAGTATAATTATTTGAACGTCTACAAAGTAAGAAAAATTTCATATAAATATTTCATTTTTCTTTGTTTGGGAAAAGGCGACAGATTCTGTCGCACCTTTCAGTTTTTGGCCTGGTGTGCCGCCCAGTTTCGATGTGGAGTTTATGGTCACTAAGACGTAGTTTAGCAAGGGTTGACAAGGTGTCATAATTTGTTATTTTATCAACATAAGTTGCCCTTTCACACTTTTGGTTACGTATACGGAAGAGAGACAATTTACTGTTGGCTTGAAGTTTGCTATTGCACATTTGGGTAAAGTGGTCAGTTTGTCTTTGTTTGAAAATTGTGGTGAAGTTTTTTGGAGGTGACTGGCTAAGCCACACATCTCCAAGGCCAAATGTGAAAAGGATTTTTCGGATACCCTCAGACCATGACATACAAGCTGGCCTGAGTGTGTGGACTGCGGGTGGGACATAAGGTGTCAGCAACTTGTAACTATTTATCTCTTGTATGTATGCTTGTTTCATTAGTGTAGCATCAGACATTTGAATAATTTTACTCCATAGTTGGACTAAACAAAACCTATTTTAACTTTTCTCCCCCCCTCTCTCGTACGTGTTTTTAACCTCTTAATCTTTTTTGCTAACCCAAAATATATTCTCTGTCTGTTTGAAGACATTTCAAATGAGCAAGCTTAGTTGGGAAATGATCCAATGACTGCCCTCTACCAGGGCCGAAGTCATTATGCTGTGGACATTTTTTTGCTTTTACAGTACAGAGATTAGTCATCTATTTAACCAGAGACGTATCTTCTAATATCTAGTGAAAAATCAATCTATGACCCTGGTAGAGGGTAGCCAGAGGCTGCGGTGTGTTGATTTTGATGCTGTCTCAACCATGATTGTGACGGACTCCACAAATATCAGCCAATTGTGTTAGTGAAGATATAACGGAGAGGGGGATGAAATGTTTATAAAGAAATGAACTAATAAGTCATTGAAAATTACAATATGCTATTTTAGTTTAAAATAGATGTCGACGAACCATTCAGTAGAGAAAGTTGGATTAAAAGGAAATATGTTGAAATAAAACAGCACAAAAATGATGGGGGGAGGGTATGATGAGGGATAAAAGGTTTGGGAGAGTCGGGGAAATTGAGTTTTGAGTGCGTTCGGGTGTTTACCGGTGTCCTTTAACTTTAACACACCAGGTTATACAAACTTTTACAACTTTTGTCTCTAAAAAAAACGTGCAGATTTATCTTTTTTACTCACATAACTACGGTATGTTTCTACTATAGTAATTCTCAAAGATGTACTTTAAAGATGGCGTCTATTTAGAAAGAGCGCCATTACTAAAAACGCAGCACTGGAAATTTACTGGCAAAGCGTCAACACTACGAAAGGAACTTAACTTAAAATAAGTTGCAAATGAAACATAAAGTACCGACAGAATTTATGTGGAGTCAAAGTTAACTATTTCTGAACTACACAAACTGTCAGCGAATAATTTTCACATCAAGTATGTTTGCTGACTTGCACAAAATATTGCACATTTTCATTTATGCACTAAGGTCTATTTGCGCGACTAACCAGAATATACATCAGAAAACATAAAACAGAATAGAAGTGCTAACGAATGCGATTTCGTGCTTTGCCGAACTGTCCCCATAGTGGCTAAAAAAGAGTAGTAGGCCTACAGATTGCGGTTTGAAGGATAGAATGACAACTTTATTTTTTTAATTAAAAAATGAATTATTTACGAATTGAGATATTTGGTACTTCACTAAGAGATCTCAACAATATTTCAAAAATGTTCCAGTAACATAAAAAGCTAGGCTAACGACATGAGTGTCACCTCTACGTGAAGTGTACAATAAACCACACAACGGAGACTGAAATATCGGAACGCAAAAATTGACTTGTTTTAATTATTGGTTAAAACAGGCTGTTAGTATGACCGAGTTGTAAAACAGCTGATGAAATTCTTAAAACATCGAATGACTCGAAATGGAATTTAATAAATTTCTTAATTGCCGATGTAATTTTTCTAAATCATTTTGTAAAGTCAAATTATTTTATTATAGCAAACTGCTAACAACACATATATAACCGAGGCGTTTCTTTTCAAAGCATAAAATGTGTGTGTGTGTGTGTGTGTGTGTGTGTGTGTGTGTGTGTCGGGTGGGGGCGAAGGTCGTGCGCGGGAATCTTCCTCTCTGGCAATTGTCAATGTTGACAGGTATGTAATGGTCAGGGAAGTAGAGTTACAACAGTGTTAATGCTACAGTATTTGACCTCAGAGTCTATCTCAACATGATTGTGATGGTGTCGATGGATTTCATCATATTGTGCTAGTGAAGACAGCAATTATTGATAGACGGCGCTGATATAATCATTTTTCTTATAATTTCTCCGGAGTGTCATAATTTTTTTTTAATAGTGGAAACTTTTTGTACTGAATGCACTTATTTCAAAAGTGCCCAAATGTCATGAATTTCATTAATATGAAAAAAGAGTACCTTGTAACAGTGGTCACCGTACTTGAGGCGCATACGATACATTTTTTTCTCTGGGAATTCACGTCGCTAATTATTTGTAAATTTTTACCTACATGTATTTATAATAACACACTTTATATTAATGATCAGGGCCTATTTGCTCAATACTTTTATCAAGCTTTCTCATTTTTTTCTCGTAGCGACTCAAATCATATCTAGACTCTTTAACGCCTGACTATGCACGTATATCTGATTACAATTTTTTTTCAAGAAAGTGTTAAGACGGACTCAAGCAAGCTGTTGCTATAACATCAACGGAACGCAGTGCGTCAGGAGAGACGACACATTCCATTCGCATGAAAGGGGGACGTGGTATAACTTTCACCAAAAATGGTCCGATAAAGCTGACATTTGCCTTTGGGTTGCATTCTAATACTCATGCTTAAAGGTGATTCTGTAAATTTCAGGATGATAAGTCACGGGGTTCTCCATTTATCATTTTCCGTTAACAAGTCTTACATTATAATGTATAACTGAAAGTGAAAAAGCGGAGTAATTTAAGGTAAAAAAAAGACCTAATAGAGTTGTAATTCGAACATGGACTGTATTTATTATAATATGAATTACTCCAGTAAGTTTGAGAATATCAAAAAAAAAAAAAAAAAAAAAAAAGCCCAGCGTTTTTTTTTTTTTTTTTTTTTTTTTTTTTTTTTTTTTTTTTTTTTTTGGGTGTTTTTTTTTTTTTTTTTTTTTTTTGTGTGTGTGTGTGTGTGTGTGTGTAAATAATTCTATGGGTATATTTCTTTGTTCCTTTATTCATCTGTTTGGTTGGCCATTATAGTTGTGACTGTTTTTATTCTTTTCTATTTTTGGTATATACTGGCTTATGTATAAATTACATATATTTTTCTTTTGTTCCCTCAAGGAGCTAAGAGCATATAATGAGATTTGCCTGCTTTTCTTTCCTTTGTAGAAACCTTCCTTTAAAAATTGCAGTTCCGGGGGAATCTGTCCGGTGCGGACGGCTCCTACAATTTCTTCGTAGAATAAAAGAACTCGAATATCTCGTGATTAATAGATATCAATCAAAGCTGTCAAATTTGACAGTTTGATTGTCGGTAACGTAAACATACGTCAGTCACTTCCATACCGCCAAAGAACTTTATCTCCTGTGATCTATAGGTGTCAATCAAAGCTGTCAAATTTGACAGCTTGATTGACGGTTAATAAAACAAACGTCAATCACAATCATCCTGCAAAGGAGCTTTTACTTCCTGTGATTGAGAGGTGCCAATCAAAGCCATTAAAAGTGGATAGCTTGATTGGCAGTTATATAAACAAACGTCAATCATCATACTGGTGATCAAGTATAGCTGTCGAGCAATGAAATACGCCGTAAAGAGCGCGCTTTCCCAGCACGTATTGATATAACTGAGATAAGGAAAAAAGAACTAATCCGGTGTCAGCCAATTTAGTGATTAAAGTAAAGATGCAATGTGTTCATCATCTTTTAGTCACATTATAATGATTGACTTTTGTGAAACTTCAGGTAGGAAATAATTTCCACCCCATTTGCAGCATTTTTCTTTTCATCTATTTCTTTTCTTTTTTCATTCTTTCTTTCTTATTTATTTATTTATTTATTTATTTACATACACGATTTATATATTTATTTAGTTAATCGGTTAGTTAGTTTTTTTTATTTATTTATTTTCTGTTTATTTGTTTGTTTGCTTGTTTCCTAAAATATGTTTTATCAAATTTATTTTATATATTTTATTAAATTCTGCCAAATTTTAAATTACATTGTTTCCCTTCGTTGGTGTGGCATGGGTTCCGCACACCGCTGTGGTGAGACTGTGAAGTTGGTTGAGTTAGTGGCGTACGCGGTCACCAACAACCTCGCCCCTGAATTCTCATGCGCACTTCTGCGGCAATCCTGTTGTATGTGGACAGGTAAGTAAAGACCCAATCCTTGTTGTATAAACGAATATCACTATAGCAATATATTCGTTGTTGTAGGTCTAGAATAGCGTACAAGGTTGCGATGTTTAACGCTGTTTGAACGCTCCTAGGAGAAACGTGGGGGATTTGTCTATTCCGTGAATCCCTCTAATTTTTTGATCAATAATTACACCCTGACCACAGGGTCCGCTGATACTCTGTTACAAAATCATTGCCTAAACTTAAATTTTGTGTGCTTATTTAGAAGCCCTTGATATTAGAGGGTAACAAACTAAACTACCCAGTTGTTGTCCATTTAAAAGTATACAAGATATTACTCAACGCAGTTCTTGTCGACTGCTCATGGTTTCAGCTGATTTGTTCCATAATCTTCTATATCACAATCGAATTATTGATTTAATCTATTTATTGATGCATTTCTTTATTTGTTTACTAACCACACATTTGCCATTTCAGCGGCAGACACCCAGCAGTCTCGTGTGAGAGCAACCCTCAAAGTGAGCATCCTCGCCAGCAGCATCACCGTTAAGGCAGAGTCGACATTTCTGGATTTTGCCTAATGATTTATCAGGTGAGTTTTTCGGATGAAATACAAATTCCTCATTTACCACGAAGTACAAATCAAGGTGTTCTTTGTATGAACTTCACATGTATAGATACTTCCGTAATACAGAAATGTATGAAAATGACAAAACTTTGGGGGTATAGCTGGCCTCAAGGTTGGCCTCAAGGTTGTATCAGTGCCCTTCAGGTCACTATGACCGTTTTTATTTCTCTCTGCACCCAGAATCAAGACGCTATTTTATTTTCCAGACTGTGGAAGGCATTTTCGGACAGCGGTAAGTGATAACTGCTATAATTATAACTATAATTCTAACTGTGTTATGGTTTATTGTTCTATTTGTTTTTTCTTTCTTTTTGCATTTCTTCTCACCTTTTTTTTACATTTTTTTATTTCACTATGTTTATTGCGTATCCTTGTTTTCATTTTCTAAGTATTAATCGTTTTTCCTCACTCTAAACTAACTTGCAGAAATCACACCAATGTCCTTTACTGTAGATTTCTCTTTTCTTAGCATTGTAGAGGCACTAACCCGCACCCTTCTTGTTCAAAACCGTTTGGTTTTGGCCGTTTTGTTCGTGTGTAGGTTGGTTAAACATGGATAAATGATATTTTGCGTTTTAGATGTTGTCAGATTATCTCAGGATATAATTAGGCGTTTTAGGTAGAAATCGTGTCTCAATATCAAACTACATAAAAATTGCTCAAATCACGCCATGTACTACAATGTAAAAAGCAAAAAGTTAGTTACACACCAGGCCCGTAGCCATCAATTTCAAAAGGGGGTTCTTCTTTTGAAAAAGTGGACCTTTTCCCATAAAAACTTTATGTACCTAGATCAAATTTTACCCAGAGTGCACCTTTTCCCAGCAAAAGGGGCGGTTCTTTCGAACCCCCCGAACCCCCCCCTGGCTACGGGCCTGCACACGCACCATCCGTTGTCATGCTTTGTACAATGTACTTTAATTTAAAATTCAGTTTTAGTAAATAAGAACAATCAGAATATCGTTAATAGGTTTCAACTTTTTCAGCGATATATCTTTCAGTTTTGTTTAGTCTCCTTAGCATATCCGTAATATCAGTGAATGTGGCATATTTTACAGCAATGAAAGAGATGGACGATCACTTCCCCGTGGCGACAGCTCACGGGAATGGGACGACTACAGACGACACTCAAGCGCAACTTATTCCAAGGGGCATGCCAGACGAGGGGACAGACGACAGCAGCATGTTTCCCTGGTTCGCACTCTATGCTAGGGTGAAGATGGAATTGGATGTACGTGGGGATGGCATGGCGGTGGCGGTCACGTCTGGAAATTTAGATTATAGAGTATCAACTCGACATGCCAAGTGATCAGCCCCAGGCCCAGGTTAGATATGCCACGATGGGTCGCTCCACTTGGAGAATTCAATTTCGGCTATAAGGCAAAATAAGCGTCACACCTACTTCCCACATGAGAGGGATATTTTCGAACTGGATATGATTATAGCGGTGACTTAGAACTAAAATAACGTTTATTTACATTCAGCTATCGACATGAAACTTTTACGTCAAATAAGACAGTTTGAAGACTTTTTCTTTCGTTCATCCAAAAGAGAGCTTTACCCGAAAATAATTAAAACTTATTCGTATTCAAATATAAACAGGAAATCAATGTCGTAAAAGTGAAAGCCTTATACAATTCTGACTTTTGTCAGATATTGGGTACTTTTTGTCACTCCCATGCTATTTTACTTCTTCACACTGGCAAAAATTTTACCTAAATCTTGCCAAACAAAAGCATACTTTCAACTGATTTTTTTTTTTCAATTTTGAAAAATATGAAAAATGTAATCTTCTTGACATATTTTACCATTAAATGCAGATCTATTCCTACGGCACACTGCAGCTGGTGGCAACCTCCACACAACGCAGTGCGTCAGGAATGCGTCTGTTAAATCCCCTTTACACTGGATGGCGTCCTTTTGGGTCCTTTGTGCGACCATGAAACTGGCATCGCTGTGGTCGTAGAAAGGAGGCACAAGCATCGCTTCGGTGGCAGAAAGATTGTACAATGATCGGCCAGTTATCAGAACATATTTTTAGTATTTTTTCCCCTCTCAAACGGGACTGTAATGCGGGAAGCAGAAAGTACGCCGTCCAGTGTAAAGGGGGCTTAAGCCGCATATTACATTCACAGAATGGAGGTGGAGACTAAAGAAATATGTATTTTCTAATATATTTGAGTTTTATTTTCAGTGAATGCGATGAAAGATGTTGCTTTTCCTCTGATTTTCAAAATAAGCAGAATAACAAATGCTTCCAACTCGACATGTTGCTAGATCAAACTTGAGTTTATTTACAACAGGCCTAGTTTCCGCATTTTAACAATTAGAAAAGACTTAGAAACGCATTTTGACACAATCCACAAATCTAATTGTCAGAGGAAAATTATTATACAAGTCATGTCAAGGCGGTATTAAGTTTGAGCGTGATTTACTTGTGTGTCACGAACATTATGAAGAGACGAGTAATCGGATGACTGTCAATTTTATACAATTACAAGTTGTCTTAAAATTTAACCTGTGAACCACCACGACGAGGAACTGCAGTGGTCCACAAGATTTTGAACTCTGAAAATATTTTTACTTCTGAATATTTTGACTGTTATGCTTAATATTCGCTTACAAAAAGAAGAGAGAGAATATCCCAATAAAATTCACCCTTGTCGAACACAAATAAATAGAAATGTAGTCAAAATTTTAGAACACCTTAGACTCGCGGATTTTTATGTGAATATATCGTACTTATAAACCTGGGCATGCGAGTTTCAGCCAAAGCCGTGTCGTCTGCAGCGCATATGTGAGGTGAGTTTACTGTTTCAGTATTCTTCACTCTTGGAATGATTGTGTTAGCGCAGAAATTTTCTTTATCACCAGATGACAACTAAAATTTTCAGTGAAAACTTCAAAAAAAAAAAATTTTAATCACCATTAAGATCATCAAGGCCATCAAGATCATCACTAACACAGATCTCTGATATGAACATCACTTCCGGTCCAGTCTTATATTACTTTAGGGGACTTAATTTGCATATAAGAGAAAAAAATGCAATTTTTCTGATTTTGGCTCGTCTCCAAGTTTTCCACTATTTTCAAAAAGTAAAGTCCACTTTTGCTCACAAATTGGTACACTTTTAATCCACACACACTGTTTTTAAATTATGTAATTAGAAATAACTTTTATATCACAGACGTGTAATCACTCTACAGCCATAAAACTCAATGTTAGCTGCTTGGGTATAAAAGTAGGTCAATTGCCTGTATAAAATTGCCATACGATTATTGATTTTGGAGTGTGGACCGTTTTAGAGGGGGGAGACAGTAGGGGGAAATGTATCAAGGTGCCAGCTAAATGTTTTGGTTGCATGGGGTTACTGAAAGGTAGATTATATTGCAAAGTTTTAAAGAAGGGAGTAAAACTAGCCCACATCTCCAGCTTTACCACGTAGGACTTTATAGATGCCACGGTCCCTCTATATTTCATCTGACTCTCCCTAAAATTTTGCTGACCGCGTTAACTGTTCAAGTCCCGGGAAGCGCGGAGCAATCAGCGTGGTGGCCGACGCAGGTGCTCTGCAGACGGTACGTTGAATTCACAAGAGGGGGTAAATGTTTTCTAGGAAAATGTTGTATTTAATTACATTTGGCGAATAGCGTGATAAAGGAAAGAAAATTGCCTTATTTGAATTCATATTGACTGACTGCAATGAAAGATACTGATATTTCTACTCAAAATAGGCATAATAAAAAACGCAAATGGAGATAACCTATCTCCCCTCAGAACCCTCCATGGAATATCCTATCCGCGAGCTTTCAAATGGCTTTCGCACTCTACACGCTGAGTTTGTATGGTAGAAGGGGGCGGTGGGGGGGGGGGGGTAGGAATTCACACTATAGCATTATTTTTTGTGTTCAAGATCAGTATCAGCTTGATTATTTGACCAAAGTCTATGGATTTATATGGATACATGTTATATTTTATTTTAAATGATAGACCTGGATTGAGAGCGTTGGCAACTAGGAAGAGAAGTTTTGTAACCAAGTCCACAGTTGTTAATTATGCTGGTCTGTACAATCCTTACTTTATTTTAAATTTGACCTGGTTCATTTTCTTTAATGATAATTTAGCTAGGAAAAACAGTGAACCAATATACAACCTCAAGCATTGGATTTGGCTACCCTCCCCCCCCCCTCCCGCCCCCTTCGTGCGACTCGTGTTGGTCTTTGTGTGTGCGTGTGTGTGTATATGTATGTATGTATGTGTGCGTGTGTGTTTAGTGTATGTGTATGGGAGGGTGTATGTTGTTTCTCCTGCCATGTCTTGACAAGTTACCAATATCATTAAAAAATTAATTGTAACATGTTATAGTCATATTGGCTTCAAAATCACGAGTTTGTATGTTTTTGATATGCACTGTTTAAACTTACGACTGAAGTATGATGGTGATGAAGAAGAACGTGCAGAGATTTAGCGTATATTCGAAATGATAATAGACAAAATAATCTCCAGATTTAATTAAAGTTCAGTTTATTTTCCATGAAAGTTGTCCGATATCTTATTGATTCATGTGCCGATATATGTTTGCAATATCTACTTTATGTAGGAGTGGTAGCAGCAACAGTTCGCGATTCACTGCCAGAGACTTCTTGCATGCCTTGCTTGTATCTGTAATAAAAGGTACATAAGTAATTAACTGATAACTATGCACAGTAATAAAAGAAGAAGAAGAAACGAAAACGATAGAAAAATCTGTCTTACATCCTGTTCGAAACTTGAAGCTAGTATCCATTTTAACAGTCACCATTTTAAAAGGACACATATGCGACTCAAGACAAAGACGGATTGTCGAGCAGAAGTTCATGAAAATATCGAACACTTTAAAAAAAGGACTCAAAAGGGACAATGGATATATCAACGAATATTATTCTTGTTTTATTGTTACGCAATCTTCAATCTTAACCTTTATCATGCACTTTTAACTTCGTGTCCCTTTTACATGCAGCATACGTCAAGCAGTGGTGGATATGGGGGGGGGGGGGGGGCAGGGGG